ATAAATGGAGCTTAAAGGGACTTTACCTGGACAGAGGCAATTGTTGATATTTCTTTTCTATTGTTTTTATTTGTAATGTTTTTAATATTTTTTTGGAGGCTAATCTCCCATTCAGGACCTTTAATCTTCCGATGAGCCATGTGTCAGTACAAAGTGTCTTCCATTAGGGAAAACAGTTACCCTTTTCCGAACCACTGTGATTGGTTAGCCAATAATTCCGGAAATTAGGTACCTGGATCACGTAGGCACATCTCTATCGCCATATTTGGACTCATTTTTATACTATAAAAGGACGCTTAGCCTGTTAATTCTGATCTCCCCTCATTTCTCAGTGTGTCACAACCGAAAGCACGGAACTTGGGCTCAGTCAGAACATTTCAGGTTTAACACTTGTAGTTAATTCAATCCCTCCAATTCTCATCCTCTTATTGATTTCAGTCGTTAGTATCAAGTCCGTTGTAGTGCACTCTAGTCACTCGAAGTGCACCACCTTTAATAATTAAAGTACTAGCCCAAACTAACAATTCCTTACACCTTTATTATCTTGTGGTTCCCGACGGTGAAACAAATGTCAACTTGTCCACAAGTACCTTTCCTGTGGCCCCAGCGGTGAAACAAACATCGGCAGGGCTACATCTAACAAACTCTTTCACTCTCTCAACCAAACTAATTCTCGATCACGCACGACATTTTAACTATTACAATTTAAGAAATGTTAATCTAAGTAACTGTAAATTAGAAAATTTATATCTTGTCCGTTCAACGGTTACTATAGCTTTGATATTAAATAATTATTAAAACTGGAAAGTATGGTTTTCTGACTGTAACTTGTTATATTTTTGTTGTGTGACATGGCGCTTTAGTGACGTGGCCCCGCCATTTTATAAGCGGCAGAAAACGCCGCGACAGAGGACCGGATCACCCCCCCCCCTCACCCTCCCCACTCCAATGGTATCTCTCGAACTCGACACCGGCACGAGAGCACTCTCCGCGGAAAAATTTGATTGCCCGTCGAAATTTTCAGGAACGGAACTAGTGCCCGCCGCAGACCCTCGGAAAGGACACCCCTTGACTGCTGCCGGAATGGGACCATAACTTATTGATGGCCACCCTCAAGACGTTGTACGCGTGCGTGCGTGGATAATCAGGAACACTTCGCACACGGGCCAACCAACCCGGGGGCGACCAGGACCAAAAGCCCAACAAGACATCGGAACTCTAAGGAGGATCCATATTTCGACGACCCGAAGTCATTCCATTCTGCTCGGAAGTGCTCCAGAAAACGTGGGTGGTGCGAAGATGCCCTAGATGATCTTCGCGACCGCACTCGGGAATAGTCGGATTCGGCTACGGGCCACAGGCCTCCCGCGGGACAGTCCTGCCTTGATTCCTTATCACGCAATTGGGCTAAGACCCGCGAGCGAATAGAGTGGTGGGAGGTATGAAGGATCGGGCTCCATTGCGGCCGGAAAACCGCGAAGGATCACTGTCGAGCGAACCGTCTCAGCAAACTGTTGCGTGACAAAGTGTGTGGACGGAGAGAACGAGAGAGAACGAGCGAGCGAAAGACGGAGAGGAACGAAAGACCGGAGACGGTAAGTCGTTTTCAGTGATCCTTCGCTTAATATTGCGAGGTGGTTCGGAGCTAGGCGCGGAGGCGAGTAGGCCTTCGGTTTGACGAAGTCTCACAAGGTCTCCGTTGCGCCCGGAAGGTTTCCTCGGTGACTTGGCGATCCAGGGAGGGGGGTGGCGATTGCCGATATCGCGTGTGTTCGGTCAGCTCGGGGATTCTTGTACGATTCGCGATCGAGTTGAATTCGAATCTAACAATTTGGAAAAGCTCTGGAATCCCCGCAGTGTCGGTGTTTCGGGCCGCCGTGCTTTCGTGTATTCCTCGATGGTCGTATTCTAACCGAAGCCAGACATCTGCGTTTTAGGGCAATCTGCGTCTAGGTCCCTAGTTTGTAACAATCTCGACAAGCCGCGGACGACCATCCTCCGCCAAACTGTAAAGAGCACGGGCTCTCGGGTGCAGCCATGGGGCTGCGCGATTTTATATTTGTAGACGAGATTAAAGAACTAATTCAGAGCCTATTTTGGCGTCATGATTCTATCCGCGGCATCCGCCCGTCCGTATGGGTTACCCATCCCTATTCCCGTGATTGGAACGTGGACCGTTTAGTACATCTTCTCGCACTCACCGATTTCCTTTTCGGCGGTGGAGAAACACATCTCGCGTTTCGCGTGGAACTGTTCTGGTGCCTGGCGCCCAGACTCGACATCGCGTTCCGCGCCAAATTTTTAAGGAAATCGAGTTTGCGCCGTTGGACCACGCACATACGGCCGTGCGTGGCCTGGCCTAAGGGCCTTAGAATCCCAGAGTCGCCCTTGCTCGCGTCTAGGGACTCGCTGGGATCGGGGCGGCGTTGCAGTTTTTATTGCTTGTTAGTTCTTTTGTTCTCACTTTTTGTAGGCGTTGAGAAGGTTATTTGACATAAATTCGCAGAAAAAATGAAGCCAACCGTATTAAGCAATCATAATGCTTAGAGGTTATTTAGTTTCGTGTTGACAATTTGTTTTCTATAGAATACGTTTTTTTAAAAGATTCATTCTTTTAATGTATTTTAGATAGATGACGGAATTTCACAAACCACAGACTTGATAATTTCTTCATCCCCTTCAGTGCTGAGACCTATCTTTTCGATGAAAAACAATAGTTGTTACTGTAATTTCTCCACACATGTTATTTTATAGTTATTTTAATTATTTCATAATATCGTGTCTCCAATATATTCTTGTGTGATTTTAGGAATATTGGGCTTTTTTGATTAACAAATGTTGCACCACGACTGCAACGATTGAAAGAGGTTAGTTATTTCTTCGGCCAATCCAATACTTGGTGTATCTTAATTTAAATAATCATTCATTATTTCCAGTACAGTTACTGTCTAATTGTATATAGGTGTCAAAAATATAATTTTGACCAGGATAATATAAATCATAATTTTTTAATTACTCAAGAGTATTTTCAAATGAAATATAATTTGTTTTGTAAGTCTAATGGGATTCAATAATAGTTATCAAATTTGATACTTGAAATTGAACGACACTTTACATTTACACTCTTTCGCTCTTAATTTGTTGAATGTGTTATATAAATTTTGTACTAATTTCTATTACGATTCGTAGATTGTGATGCAAATACAATTGATACTAGAATTGACAAATGCATATACGATGCCAGGTTGCAGAATTGCTGGGTGGATGAGTTGCTAGTAGGTGGCAGGGGGCAGCTATTGCAATGAGTTTATCATCGGTGAGTCCGTTCCAGTATTATTATACCATTATAAATATATATTTATTTATTAACACATACAAGGGATAACAATAAATGCATCAGATCACACGTTCAGACACTGTATGTCACAATCGCTGTTTGAGTACCTTATTGATCGGAGTTTACGGTTGTCTTATATATTTATGATTCTATCTACTCCCCTTAAATGTAGATCTACGTTTTAATTTTTAGTTTGTGTTACATTTGCTTGAAACATCATGTTTCATAAAATTTTACTAATAATGAATTTAATGACATGTCACCGATTTAGCAGCTTAAAGTACAGTAATCAATGTAGGGCGACTTGTAGTTGCTAACAATATCTACTGTAAGCTACCCATTATAGTTTTCTGTAATGAAATTTATCTATAGAATTAGTATAGTTATCGTATTGAATTGGTTGGTACTTCCCACAACGGTTAATGCAATATTTGCATTTTCGATTCTAAACCACTTTAATGCTTGGCTCTATATTGTTTGATTGAAGTAACTCAGTTGTATTATTTACCTTCATAGTTATGCCTGGGAATAAATCTAAAGTATTATAGATCTCTGTTTCCTCTGTAACCTTGTGTCGGCGCGATCGTAGTCAGTTATTCTGGGACAACTTAATCGAAAGATGCTTTTTGTTTCGCTCATCTTTATATCGAGAAATTATTGTGTCGAGTAATTTGTTAAAGAATCAATCAAATGTGTTTGAATATTATAGTTTTAATATAAACGTTTGGACAACTGAGGCTTAGATGATACGATTGACAACGGTAGATACATCTCGATGCGATGATTGTTAGTCAAGTTATGATATTATGGACATCACTAAACGATTGTCAGCTTTCCATACAGAAGTAAAAATGCCTGAGTGCTGGGTGTCCTTTGCGGCCTGATGCTCACTTCGGCCACACGTTTTTTTAACGTACTGTTTTGAACTTTCTTAGGGTCGTACTGAAGTTATTTTGTAGAAACTATTGAAGTAAAGTCATTGTTTGTTTCGCTATGCCTATGGATTTTTCTGTCGGTACAACGAAACATGCTCTTGCCCTGAACAACTCGTGTTTAAAATGATGTACATGTACATGTTTCCGGATGATTACAATGATTAGTGATGGACTAAAGTATTCAATTACTTGGTCCATCGAAATAAAAACAGCAATATTTTTAATAACATTAAATCTATTCATGTATGTGCATGTCATTACATATTTTACATAAACATAAACAATAATGTATGGAAGCAAAACTTAATAACCATTGCTTTGAAACTAGTAATAAAGTAAAATTTATAACATCCTAACAATTCGTACAATCCTTAATTCATAATGTTAATTACGTTAAATTTTCAGTTAGTACTTTCCAAATCATAATAAGCCAATGCATTATTTATGCACTATCTGGTTAATCTGCTCGATTGTTGGACATTACGTTCGATTATGAGCTTTCATATACTTCACACATCAACAAGCTACAAAACAGATGTCACAGGCCCTATATGATTACTGTAGAGCGTCGATTACACTGTCCGACAAACTCAAACTTTTTTTCTGATTTCCTATAGCCACTATTTATTTTTGCCATTCCAAGTAATAGTAAAATTTAAAAAAAAAACATTTTAGTCGTCGCCTGGTGGACTAGTCCCGCTATCATCTGAACAAAATTCAAGCCCCTTAGTCCAGTTTTAAAAAAGTTATTGCGTTTTAAAAGGTGCACGAACACATTTGTGGGTCACTGTATGTTTGAAATGGTTTACTGCTAAGTGGATACCTAACAGCTCTCGATCGTAGGTACTATAATTCGTTTGCGTTTCTCTCAAAATTTCTTTAAATAAGAAGCTATGGGCTTCCACGAATGATTTTCACGATGTCCTAAGACCGCGCCAACTGCCCAATCTGTAGCATCTGTAAAAAGTGTTAGACGTGATTCTGCATCAAGGTATGCAAGTAGTGCTACATTTGCTAGTTTCTGTTTGTATTCTTCGAATTTTTTATGGCTGCAATTGTCCATTGGATTTTTTTCTTATCTCTCTTTCGTGCATCTTTTAAGTACTAGTGCCACACGGCTTGATTCCGTGCGGCATTACATAGAGGGGAATGATGAATGTTTGTCATACCTAGGAAGTTCCGCAACTCGTATGCTATATTTAGTAATTTGTACTCTAGTATGGCATTTACTCGTTCCGCTAATGAACGCACTGCGCCCGGTGTAATGTTGTACCCTAGAAAATCCAACTCCTTGGTCCTCATGATTGACTCGGTTAGGTTTATCGCCAAACCATGTTTGTCTTCTTCTGCATACCAATTCCTGGTGCTGTCTACGTTCGTCCTGCGATCATATCGTCCAGATATGTAAAAACAGTGGGTACTTCTTGAAGCACCTCGTATATGAATATTTGGATAAACTTTTAAATTTGCATAATGATAAATGGATCAAAGGCTGGTGGTGCGTCTAACGGCACGATCGGCATTGATTCTGATACCGCAATTTACACTACAGTCGATTGAGAGACTGATGACACGACTGGCCGGGATAGACGCGGCTCCACAAGCTTTCCTGTCTGTTATTCCCCAGCGATTAAGTTGGTCTTCAGCAGCGCGGACCTCCGCCTCTTGGTTCGGAGTCGGTCACCTCCCCAACTGAATCATCGAAGATTTTCTCGCAGACGGATGTATTTGCCACCTCTGTCACGGCACCTCAGGTTCCGGAGATCGATTCGCATCGCCTTTCCAAGAAGCGGCCTTATCCGAGACATCACCCGCGATTGTTCTTGTTCGGACGTTATTTGTGACGACAGCTCAGGAGGGGGGGGAGGTAGGTAGTACCGACACAATTCGGTGATCGATTTCCTCGGATGAGAATCTCGCCGCGTTTGGTTTGTTTCCACTGCGACTACCTCGGCCTCCTCTACCTCCTCGCCGTCTTCCTTTGAGACTCCACTGACCGTGTAAGATCTTTCTTTTCTTCCAGCAGATGTGGTTCGGCCTATAAAAATAAAGTTATTATTATGCATTATTTAGTATGTGTTCAAATGGAAACGGTAAGGAATAATAATTAAATGCAGAGGATGATTAATTTAGTGATATATAAAAAGTAATTGCAAAGATAATTTATGCAAGTATAAAAATCTTGCTATCAATATCTTTTACATAATTTCTCGTGGAATGCTAAAATGTAACTTACGTGGAGGCTGCTGCTCTATTTTCTTCGTTTGTTTTTCCTCCAGCTTTTCCGGTTGCCGTTGTTGTTGCTTGATCAAGTTCAGCATATGCTGCTGTTGTAACATTTGTTGTTGCAGTAATACTAATTTTGCCAAATTAAAATTTAATTAGATGAGATGAAAGACTTTCTCCGCAAAATATTATTTTGCAGTTATTAAGTATCATAACTTACCCTGTATTAGTCGCCACTGCTGTTCAAAATTTTTACGTTGTTCCCTAAACATAGAATTAAAATTTTTGAAATATGATAAAATATACGTACACAGAATGAAGAAAACTGAAATTAAAAAAAAGAATACGTAGTGTCCGTTCATGAGAAAAGAGCACAGATGTCGATAAAGAAGTATGGGAGATATACTTTTTGGTATAGTTCGTGTATAGTAGAGAGATGGGATATCAGGTGGGTATCCCAAAAATGTCTCGTAATACGGAAATGGAGTGTAGCTGAGATCATTTGATAACTTTTTCCTTAGCGAAAATTCAATCTGCGGATTTGTTTACAAGTTATTAACGAAAAACACTGATCAATGAGAGGCGAGGCCGCGAGCTACAATATGGTCGATCGCTCGAGTGCAACATATTCCGACCGCGGAGAAGAAGGGAGGCTCCGTGCCGCGTTCGGATCAATGAAAAAGTCACGGAGAATGAACTTTCGATTTTTTTTTACCATGTAATAGTAATATTTTTGAGAAAAACGCTTTTCATCCTTATTTCAGAATGTCTAAAGAATATTTACTAATTATTAGGACCCGAAATAATGAGTAGTTTAACCGTGACAAAAATAATCGCGTTAAAGAACATGCAGGATATGTCTGCTTAAGAATTGTGAAGATTATCATTAAGTAAACTCACCCACTTAGTTGAGGCTGCATTTGCTGTTCGAAATTTGGGGCATGATTTCAGTGTAGTGATCTCGTGCGATGTACAGTTGATCCTAGACTAACGACCACAGCGTTCAAGGGATACTGCCGGAGGGACCTCATGTATGACTAACACAATATTCACTTTCATTACACTGTCACCAAACACTGACCAGTCAATTAATCATTGATAATCTGAAACACTGATAGTCCAAAGTCGTAGAGCTATCCTATGGAGGATAATTTCTCGACATGAAGAGACGAGCGAACCAAAAAGCATCGTTTTATTAAGTTGTCCTAGAACGACTCACACGTCGGTTGCACCAAACAAGTTTCTAACAAAGATCTATAACACTTCAGAATCATTCTTGGTCACAACTATGGATGTGAATAATACAACTGAGTTACTTCAATTAAACTATATAGAGCCAAGCTTTAAAAAAATTTGGAATGGAAAATGCAAATGTTGCTGTTGATCAGAACACGTTGTCGGGAATAAAACTAGGTTATATTTACTTCAAATGTGTAAATATATATCTATTGAAAATATTTATAAATTAAATTAAGCTTATGAATCACACTTCTCTTCGATAGTTATTACTTTTTATTTCTATCCTATGTGCTACTTCTTACACACGCATAACAATAATATAGCTTTTTCGGTGACTGTTCAAACGACATCACCTCGTCCTGATATTCTGGTAAAACTGTGCTTCATTGCAGGAGCCATGAATGTTGTAAACTACTACGTCATCTTGGTCCACAAAGATAGGTGATTGATGATGAATGATTTGTGGTTTCACGCCATCCCTTTTCTAGGTCCTTTGGCAGGTATTCACCTCAGTGCAACATTCTAGCAGATCTATTGAAAAACTGGAAAAAACAAGATATATCAAATGTAGAGAGACTTTTATGATGCTCTAACGTTACCAAAGAATATAGGACTTCAATACTCGAAAAATCTAAATTTGTGTAATCATGAACTGATAAGATATAGTGATTCTAGGATAGCCGCGAGGAATAGAAAGAGTACCCCTGGGTATGTTACTGTAGATACAGCGACATTTACATAGATCCAGCAATTTTACTTGCTATCTGTAATTACTTTCTAAATTTCTAACGATCGTTACCGACTGGTATACATCCCTATCACAGACTTAGGAGTTACGTCCGTATCTATACGTTTCTTCAAAGCCAATCCATTTTACTACTTTGATCAGATCAGAACGTGCGCAATATACTTATGCCTAGGTTGTTTGACGAAAATAGAAATAATACGTAGACACTATTCTAAAACTACGCGAGCCGCTGTCGCGATGGTCTATGCCGCTGCTCTGGCCCCGTGTCGTATAATTTGCTATTACTTGGTCGCCGCCGTTTCGCTATCTGTTACCTGTAAGAAATAGGACGAGTGT